TGCATCTTCCTTCTTCCCTACCCCAGTAGAGGGTGGCTACTACAGATGGTGGGACCCACACTCCAACCGCATGTTCGGGGGGGGGGGGAGGGGCTGTGGTCAGACTCGCTCAAGTCACTACAAACCACAGGCAAGGAAAGGAAGGGAGCAGGGCTCTTCTGCAGCAGAAAGCCCCTGCTGAGCCCGGGGCCTGGATCCTGCTTTGATGAGCGGAGAGGAACCCACTGCAGATGGCCCAGTTAACGAGTGGGCGCTGGTTTCTTCCCCCAAGTAGGTTACCCAGTTCCCTTCCCATCATGCACAGGGGCCAAACACGCTCAGTAGAGCCCTCAGAAGTCAGCAACTCTGAGAGTAACTGGGACCTGGCTCCTGTCTCATTCACATTGGTCTCTCATCAGACCCTTCCAAGCAAAACACAGGGCAGGTGGGTACTGGGCAGCTGCCCTGCAGCTGGGAGCCCGTCACCTGTCTGGTTGGAACCCAGAAGAGGGATTCTGCCAAGGCGGCTCAGAGGAGGAGAAGCCAGGTGGCCCAGGAACAGCTCTGAAACACACCTCTCTGCCCCAGCAGGGACTGGGCTGCTGGGATGGACAAGCAGGGCTGGGTCTCCTGGCGGAGAGTTTGAGTTTGACTGCTTATGGCAGAGCCGGGCAGAGAAGGAAGATGCCTTTGTGGGGTGTGTAACACACCAGGACAAGCAGGCAGGTGTCTGCTGACCCAAAGACCAAAGGCTCTTCATTTTGTGACCCCAGGACATTGCATGACACCAGGCACAAAGTAGATCATCTGGAAATATTTGGAGTAGTAGAGAAACCCACTATGCATATGGGAGACCTCAGGGGCAGGCAGCTGATGGGGGAACATGTGGGGTCCTGGGAACCACGACTACTTGGGGGGCCACTGTGATACGAAAGTCCCGGGCTCCAGAATCAAGTCTATTTGGTTCAAGTACTCGGCCTCTTCTTAATAACTGTGTGCTTGGGTAAGTTATTTAGCTTCTCTCATCTCAGGTGCCTTCTTTATATAAGAAGGAGAAAACTATATCCAGATCATTTGTGTGGATGATGACGGAGTGAGGGTAAAGCATTTAGAGTGATGTTTAAAGTGACCGTGTGGACACCAGATCCGAACCATGCCTATCCTGCACCATCCTCCCCATTTCTAGAAGCTCGCGTCCACTGTTCCAGTCACGGTGTCATTCCGTCTGGCTCAGGATCTTCCTCTATTTCTCCCGCCCTCTATTTTTCTTACCATGATGTCTTTTTTAAGGACAGTCTGCTCCTGACAACATACCCAAAGTACGTGAGATGACGTTTCACCTCTAAGAAGCACCCAGGTTGCATTTCCTCTAAGACAGATTTGTTTTTTTGGCAGCTCATGGTGTTCACCAGCATCACAATTTAAAGGCGTCGATTCTTCGCTGGTCTAATATAATGAGCCAGACGATACGGTTGTTGTTTATTGTGTTCCGTCGAGTCGGAACTGACTCATAGCTGATCCTCCAGTGCGTTTTAATCACACGGGAAGAGATTACCCATCCTTCTCCCACGGAGCAGCTGGTGGATTTGAACTGAATACCTTTGGGATTGCAGCATAGTTTCTTACCACTACGCCACAGAGCTTCCTAGATTGTATTCGTATTAGCAATTATTAATTATTATTTTACATTTCATTTAATTATTAAGAATTAATATTTTTTAATTTAGTTTATTATTTTAAATTTTTATTTACTGTCTTAAACTGAAGTCTGGGAACTGATGAAACCAGGCTATGGTTTCAATGGTTAACACAATTCTCTCATTTGTTCATGACTCCCTTCATCAATAATTTTACTACGTGTGGCTTTATCATACTCAGGCCATAATTTTATAGTTGCCAAGTCTGTGACCTGCCACATGATAGGACCTTGGCCCTGGGGGACCACCCTCTCCCTGCTCCAGGCATGAGGCAGGTAAGAAGTCCCCCCAAAGACCTTGGCTCTGTGTCAACTGCCCTGGCCAAAGGTCCATCCATCTGCCCTGCCCCTTGGCCCCACTCTCTCTATCTGTCCTGATGTTGACGACAAATGGCTTGTTATCCCAGGCCACTGCAGGGGGTGATGGGTCAAGTGCCACAAAGCCAGGCAGGCTGGGATGGCAGGGGATTGAGGTGGGACATGGTACTAAATATGAGAACTGCTGCCTGTTGCCTCCCTGGACAGAGACACCTATGTGGGCGCTGGGATGTCACTCGTCTGAAGCACGATGAGCGAGTGAACAGCTCCTGACCTAGCCCTGTGCATGGGATGAGGGTGGGGCCCTTCCGCTCACACCAGCCTTGGAGCCGTCAGTCCTCCTTGCTCCCAGCCTTGTCCTGGAGATCTCATTAGAACTCCTGTCCTCGTCCTCACAAGGAGCTCTGGTGCCCTAGGCTGTAGCGAGCAGTGTTCCTAACCAAAATGTCAAGTATCTCCTGTGGTTTGAACCCACGAGCAGCTCTATGGGAGAAAGATAGGCAGTGTTCTTCCATTAAGATTTATAGCCTTAGAAACTCAATGGAGGGCTGTTGAGAGTCAGAATTGGCCCAGCAGCGGTGAGAAAGAACTGGGCCTTCTTGCCAAGAACATCCCCACTTTGCCCACAGTTCAGCTCAGCCTGCTTTGCAGCCGGATATTCTGGGATTCTAGGACCTGTCCAGGCTACAGTTCCTCTCTCCTCAGCCCTCCGGTCCCGCCAAAGTCATCTGCTCAGTCAATCCTTGCTTAGAGCACTGCCTCTTCTCACCACTGAAACTTCCTCCATCAGGAAGCCTTCCTGGGTTATCACCACTCCTATTCTAATCTCCTCCCTAGTCTCCTCTACTGTAAAATTAGCAATACATGCCATCCTCTCACTCCAGCTCTGCAGGAAGTGTCTTAATAAGCCTGCTGATGTCACCAACAGTAATACTCAGCCGTGGTCTATCACTCAACATTTTGTGAAATATTGTTATAAAAGGTATGTATTTAATCACATAATAGATCCTCAAGGCAGGTATATTGTTGTTGTTATGTGCCACCAAGTCACCTGAGACCCATAGCAATCCTATGTACAACAGCTCTGAAGCCTGCCCTGTCCTGAGCCTGTCTCATTGACTCCAATACACCAACCCCCCATTGCCATAGTCACTGTATCAATCCATCTCACCCGGGATCTTCCTCCCCTGCTCTATCCCTCCACCCTTCTTAGCATGATGTCCTTCTCCAAGGATCGGTCTCCCCTGGCCACATGCCCAAAGTATGTGAGATGGAGCTTCAAAAGCCTAGCCTCCAAGGTGGACCTATTTGTTTTCTTGAAGATCAATGGTATGTTCAAGACTTCTCCAGCACCACCAATCAGAGGCACCAATTCTTCTTCTAGTCATTACCCAGCTTTCTGATGCATAGCAAGTAATTGTGAAAACCATGGACTGGGTCAGGCCCCCTTCCCAAAGGAGAGTAAGGAATTATGATGTCAATCTAGTGGCAGGTGGTTTGGGTATACCAGAGGGGGTATTTCCCAGAGAATTTATAGCCTCTGAAGACCCTCTAGGTCAGCTATGGGTGAGTAAGTGAAACTGAGGCTCAAAGAGGCTAAGGGCATGCTTCCCCTCTGTGATCACTAATCTCCACTCCCCTGGCCCTTCAACTAGGAAGCATTGCTGAATTTGCTCAGAGGCCACTGGGAAACTCAGTTGGTCCTGTCTAAGTCCAGTGCTCCTCTGTGTCCTTGCAGCTCCTCCTGGTGAAGGGGTAGCCGGCTGGAGGTGGCTGAGTTGTGGCAATCCTCCCTCCTGACTGCCCTGTCTGAGCCAATCTATGCCTCCTGCTCCTGTTTCTCCACTAGCAGACTTCTCGTACTCTGTCCTGCAGTACACAGACTTGTGGGCTTGACTTTCACACCAAACTACGAGTCCTTCTGGTCTCCAAAGACCTGCCACAAAGTTGGTGTTCAATCAATGAGTCGGGCTGAATTAAGGAGAGACTTGAAAAGGAAAATAAAGCAAACCAAAGGTTAAGCCTCCAGAGTCCCCCAGATGTGAGTCACCCAACACATCTGACTTCAGAATCTTCCTGAGCACCGCTTTCCCCCCTCAGTAACCCCTCCATCCCTCAGGAGGGCAAGGCCATTTACTCTCTGCTATTCCTGCTTTCCAGGTCATGGCCTTTGAATCACTTGCTATGCATCAGAAAGCTGGACAATGACTAGGGATGACAGGAGAATTGATGCCTTTGATCTGTGGTGCTGGAGAAGAGTATTGAATATATCATGGGCTGCTAGGAGAACAAACAAGTTCGTCATGGAGAAGGTGAAACCAGGCTGCTCCTTGGAGGCAAGGATTCTGAAGCTCCGTCTGACATACTCTGGGCATGTGCAAGGCAAGACCAGTCCTTGAAGAGGGACATCATGCTTGGGAGGGTGGAGGGAAAGTGCAAGAGAGGAAGACCCTCGATGAGATGGATTGATTCCGTGACTGGGTTAAGGGGGTAGGGGTGTCAGAGACAATAAGATTGGCACAGGATAAAGCAGGGTATGGGCTGTTGTACACAGGGTCGCCATGAGTCGCAGGCAACTCGACGGCACATAACAATTCTCGCTTTCAGGAGCTCTAGGGGTGCAACAATTAGGGCTCAATTACAAACTGAAAATAAGGTTTTAACACACTTGTGGCCCCGTAGGAGAAAGACCTGATAATCTGCTGCTGTAAAGATTATAGTCTAGAAAACGCTTATGAGGTAGTCTTACTCTGTTTCATGGGGTCCCTCTTAAAACCCTTGAAATCTACTCCACAGCACTTAACATTAACTGCAAACGTCCTGCTTCAGAGCGAGCTCATAGTGTAGAACCTGGAGGTGGGGCGGGGTGGAGGTAGGAGGAGTGGCCTGAGGTGGAGGCGTGGCATAGAGGGGCGTGGCACAGAACGGGGCGTGACTACGTGTGGGAGGCGGGGCCAGAGATGACAGGGTGCAGCTGGCATCTTGCAGGACAGGGAGGGATGCTCACCAGAGAAGTTGCCAGCCAGTGAAAAGCTCTTGCAGTGCTGGTCCTGGAGGGAGGCGGAGACAGAGTTCAGCCCCAGGAGGAGGAGGGCCTGTGGGCGCAAGGAGACAAGGGCCTGGTTAGGCTGCTGCTGTGACCCACTCTAGTCAGTAGCTTCCCGTTTCCTCTCTGTAAAACTATTCATCCAGTCTCTTCCTAGACCCTCTGTCATCTGGGGTCCCCTCATCCAGCCTCTTTGCCTTCCTTCCTTTGGCTCCTCTGCCCAGAAAAGTCTGGAGCCGCCTGCTGGCAGGTAACAGAGGTGACCCCTGGTGAAGCACTGTGGTTAACCCACGGCTCTCCATCGCCACCCATGTGTCTCTGCATTTGTGTCCCAGGGTCCCTGCCCTCTTACTCCGGGGCCTCCCACAGCTGCGCCTCATCCTGTGCCCCGGCCTCAGCCACTCTGGCAAATGGAACTCAGGAATGATTATAAGAAACTCATTCATCTCTCTGGTCCCAAGGAACTTCCAACACTTTATTAATCAGTAATTAAACCTCACAGTTCCCAGAGAGATGGAGAAGTAGCTCAATTCCAAATGAAAACACAGAGACAGAGAGAAGCAGCAGCTACCAGGCCAGCTGGTGGCATTGCTAGCTGACTTGAGGGCCACATGTCCTCCCCCTGGACAGCTGCCCTGTTCAGCTCTGTAGCCAATATGCGGCCAGGGCCAGGTCCTGCTGCTCGCTGTGTCAAGAGAGGGTCAGCTCCTTGGAACCCCCAGACGCCCCTGGAGAGGATTCAGAATGCCTCCTCCCAGCTTCTCACCTGGCCCTTGCATCTTCTTCCACCTCCCAGTGTGTACACAAATACCCCAGTTTAAGCCCCCAGCATCAGCTCAGTCGCAGGCATATTAAAGAAACCAGTAACACTCTTTTCCAAAAACCCCGCTGGCTGACCTTCTATGGGAGCCATCTAATCCTTAAGCCACACTCTGTGCTTTGGTCTTTCAGACCCTCCCTGAATACACATCATGTTCTATTCTCATTGAATCACTTAGCATTTCTCCAACACTCTGAATCCTTCCTGCATCTCTGCATACAAACTTCTCTGTGCTTCCTCGGTCCTGCCCACTTCATCTGATGCCGTCCCCAAGAGCCAGCTCCAAGGGCTCCCCAGTAATGGTCTCTTTTCTGGCATTTGAAAGCAAAGTAACCAAGCTTCCCCTTCAACAGGACCCCCCCCCACTCCCCCACCCCCCGCCCAAAGCACCCTATTCAGAGGCAGTCCATGGGCTAGTCTTGATTAAAACCATCAAACCACAACACACTTATCACCCAAGATCCAATGATTAAATGGCAAATACCCAGGCTGGAGTTCTTAACTGTGAATCTTAATGCCTTTGGCTTTGCAGCTGAGGACAGCAAATCAAACTTCATCAGAAAACCAAAGCAAAAGCTATGGGGCCGTAGGCGTGTCTGCCCTTGGTGGCCCTGCCTGACACTTGTGTCTCCTTTTGAGATTTGATGATGCATCAAGTGATTTTCCACCAATAGAAGCAAAATGCTTCTTAAAATTCCTGAGCAACCTTTCCTTTCAGCAAAGGTCGGCTCTGTGTCAGGATTTCTGCCATCACCATGTCTTGATCTGTGGAAATGTTTGTCAATTCTGGCTTGTTCCTAAATCACACTTCAGGAAACGTCATGAGGTTCCTTGTGCATTTCCTCCCCATATTCGTTCATTACCAGGTCCCTGGGTGGCCAAAAATGGTTTGCCCTCAGCTACTCACCTAAAGCTTGGTAGTTTTAACTCGCCCAGCAAGGCAGTGGAACAAAGGGCAGGTGATGGGTTTTCATCAATATTACAGCCCAGAAAACTTGATGCATCATGCATCAGTGCTCGGAAATGCATGAGTGTTCGTGAGTCAGAGTCAATGTGACAGCTACAGATTTACTTCTTTTTCCAAGACACTCATCACCTCACTAGTGCTCACTACACATCCTTTAGTTTTCTATCTGCGAAGTGACCTATTTTCTTCTCAGGAATTCTTGATCTGGGTCCATAAACATACAAATGGGGGATGGGAGGGTCCATGACCCATTGTCATGGAAATGAAGTCCTCTGTGAAATCACCACATTGTCACATTTTTCTCCTGAAGAGTAGACAATGAGTCCGAACTGTTGACCTTTTGGTTAGTAGCTGATTGCTTCCCACTGTACCACCAGGGCTTCCTGGATCATGAAGATCCTATCATTACGTGTAATGGTACTATGTAGTAAGAGTCATTTTCCAGAGGAAAGCCCACTGCTTTCTTTGCTTCTCAGATGATGTCAGAGGCCAGTATCGCTGCCAAACTGGATCTGAAATCAAACCAATCAAAGTGGTTTTTGGAACTGAGAACCTTGAGACTCTTCTGTTTATTCCTCCTCCATCATTAGCCCAAACAACAGAACCATTTTTCACAAACCTGCTTTTCAAGATTCCATGAGTCCTTCCATTTTCCAACAGCTAGTAGAATATGTTACATGTTAGCCCATAAACAAAAGGTCAGTGGTTCGAATCCACTGGCCATTCCTCAGAAAACTGACGATGGAGGGTTGCCATGAGTCAGAAATGACTCAAGGCAGTCGGTTTGGGGTTTTGGTAGTAGAGCTAACAGGATCCATGGGTGGCCGAAGAATTAAGTGCTCACACAAAATGTTGGCAGTTTGAATACACTCAGAGGCTTGTTGTAAGGCAATGCTTTATGCTCCAGGAAGACCACAGCCTTGAAATCCCTATGGAACTCTTGAAATCCACTAGACAGCAGCTAGCCACATAGACTGAGAGTCTCAAGCTGGCAGAACCTGAGACTCACTCACCAGCCAAGGAATGCAGCCTCAAGATCCCAAACCAAATCTAATCCTCAGCGGCAAACCTCCCCACGCATCCAAGAGCCAAGCCTCAACAATCAAATCTGCAAAGGAAAGACAATGTCATGACCTAATTTCAACACCAGCTGAAATGACTGTGCCAGGCCCCACTGGGCCCCTGGCAGGGGACACCAAGCTACAGAAAGCAGGGGGGACCGTCATGCTCCCCATTTTACACCTAGGGTAGATGAAATGCAGAAACAGACTGTTTTCAGAATCCCTCGGTGATGGAAATGGTTAAAGCACTTGGCTGCTAACAGAAAGATTGGCAGTTCAAGTCTATCCAGAGGTACCTGGCACACCTGGGGTCACCACGACTGGGCAGAGACTTAACAGAAACTGGTAGGATTCAGTAATATATTTATTTCTTAGAATTGCCGTACCAAAGTACCACAAACTGGGGGACTTAAAACATTAGACATTTATTTTTTCATAGTTTTATATCCTGGAAGTTCTCAAATCAGAATGCTGGCTGGGCCAAACTCTCCTTGAAAGTTTTAAGAAAGGTTCTTCCCCTAACCCTTCCTGCTTCCAGAGGCTGCTAGCAACCCTTGGCAAACCTTGACTTGTAGACGCATCATGCCAATCTCTGCCTCCATCACCATAGACGTTCTTCTCCTTTATCATAAGGACATCAGTCACACTGTACACCCAGTCCCGTACGAACCTGTCTTAGCCTGACTGCACCTGCAAAGACCCTGCTTCCAAAGAAGGTCACGTTCACAGATACCAGGGATTAAGATCTCAACATATGTTGAGCGGCTTTGAGTTGGTTCTAGCAGCAGAATGAAACACTGTCCTGTCCTGTCCTGTCCTGTCCTGTCCTGTCTCATTCTCACATCCCTGCCATATTTGGCCCACTGTTGCACTCACTGTGTCAATCCAGCTCATTAAAGGTCTTCCTCTTTTTCCCATTGGCCCTCTAATTTATCAAGCACGATATTTTTCTCCAGGGCTTGACTCCTCCTGATAATATGTCCAAAGTATGTGAGATGAAGTCCTTTCATCCTCATCTCCAAAAAGCATTTTCGTTGCATGTCCTTTTGACAATCCAGGATATAATCAATTTTCTGCCAAAATAACAATTCAAATTCTTCTTTAGGCTTCCTTATTTATTTTCCAGTTTTCACATACATATGAGATAATGGCAAATACCATGTGTTGGGTCAGGCCCACCTTAGTCCACAAAGTGACATCCTTGCTCTTTAGCACTTGAAAAAAATCCTTGGCCATAGATTGGCCCAATACAATACATTGTTTGATTTCTCGACTGCTGTTTCCATGGATGTTCAATTCAAAACAAGCTGGCAAATTATTTGTCTGCCTTCTGAGAAGGAAAATGACAGAGGTGGGGTGGCAGACTTCTAGTCTGGCTAGGCTCAGGGAAGGCCATAGCCCTGGGGAAAGAGACAGAGGCAAGGGAAGCTCTATCCTAGGGCCTGCAGTGCAGAAGTCCTAGGAGGAGTTACAGGGTCTGACAGCTCCAGCTCCAGCTCCAGCTCCAGCTGCTGTAATGCCCCCCACCCCCGGGCCAGCAGAAAGCAAGCTGGAATTGAAGCTGCCATCCCAAATCCCAGTGTGGCTTTGGCATAAAGGTTAATCACGCCCGGAAAATGCTTATTAGAGACCATAAATAACCACATTGCTGAAGCTCAGCTTGGTCTTTAAGGCACAAAAGTGCAATTTTCTTTGATGGGATGATTTGGTAATTAACCTTTTGGGGAGGGTCCTGAAGGGCCACTGGAGAGAGGGGGAGGAGTGGCAGAGGCTTTGGGGCTGCCCCCACCCATTAAAGTTCATGAAGGGCAAAGAGCAGCTGGCTGTATTCCTCTCTTTTCATTGCACCCTCTGGTTCTGAGCTTGGGCCAAGCTGGGATGAGGGACTGAGAAGAGCTTTTAACAGTGCCACGGGACTGCAGCGTCCTCCTCCAAGCTCTCTATCAAGCGCTGGACTACCTGCAACACCAGGTGAGTCACCTGGGCCTCTGAACCCCATCTTCCTTGTCTGTGAAGCCAGTGGGTACGATGGGTCTTTCTTACCTGCATCATAACAGGACTGTTTTGGGAAAACAAGATGAGAGATGCTTTCTGAAATGTCAAGTCCCCTTTAAGTGTCACTGGGTCAATGCATCTTGGTCATTCTGGGGCCCAGAATCCTCACTGGCCACATGGAAAGACCACAAAAGCTGCACTTTCTC